CGCCCACGATTGTTATCTGTGATGTCAAACTTGGGGTTATTGTAGCACAAATTATAAATATACACGTAGTTAGGAACTTCGTCAGGTAATGAGAGGGATGTCCATGTCTAGATGATAGATTTATATTCATTACCTGTCACATTTCCTAATTAAACCCTTTTTTGCCCCTTTTATCACTCCAATACTTTCTCCGTTCCAAAAAATTGTTCCCATATTGACTTTAAGGAAATTTAAGGGGGGAATATTTTTGTTTTGACTTTTGAAAATACCCTTGATGTGATGGATAAAAGTAGGATGTGATGTGTAGATTATTAGTAAAAAGGTATGATGTGATAAGTAGGTTAAAAATTAGTATGGGGAAAAGTGGTTTTTTAATTGAAATGGGAATGATTTTGTGGGACAAGTAAAAGAAAAGGTGAAGGAGTTTTTGGGACGGAGTGAATATATATTATAGACATTGCCCTAACAAAATAAATATAATGAAGAGTAATGATAGGCTTAGGGAAGGTTAGGAAATGAATTATAAAGTGAATGGGTTTATCATAAGTAAAAGAAAAACAGTTAGTTCACATATTTCCTAACACAATTTTTGCCCCTGTCCCTACCACAAGATGTGGTATACTGTAAAAACATTTTATTGGTCAAAGGAGGGATCTGAAAATCCTAGGTACGAGTAACATTTCATTTAAAAGTATGTGCATTACTTTGGCATGAACTATATAGAGGGTAAGTAAAAAAAGATGAATAAGATGTTTCCAAAATTTGCTTCTCAATATTCTTTTTCACTGGTCTCTAAATTATTTTTGCCTTCTTCTTTAATAAAGGAAAAAAATTGTAAGTGTTCCAAAAATGAATGAGGAGTTAGGAGAAGGATATGTGGAGAGTAATTGGATTGGTTTGTATTCAATTATACCATATCTTCTGGCATTGACAACAAGGTCTTTGGTGCTTGCAGATGAATCCAGGTAAACAAACTTGGATGCAGGCAGATGTCCCTTGTTTAAGTGGTCCACAAGCCTCTTCAGTCCCAAGTTGAAAATGGAAATGGCATTATTAATTTCTTCATTGCATCTGCTGCTTCCATTGCCGTCATTATCATACCTCGCTAGCTCATACGGTATGCACCCGATCTCACCCACTGAACTCACCACTATCTTTCGAGCCCCATATGCATATATTTCCTGCAACACACTCAATAGGTATTGTATTATAAACAACCGTTTTTCAAAAGATTTTGAGATTTAAACGTGCTTTTCGGTGACAGTATTTTTTGCTATTTGTTCTCAAAAAAAAAAAAAACTTCAAACATCTGACATAATGTGGGGTGAGTGGTACGAACCGATAACTTCCGCGAATAGTCATTGAGGAGAGAAGCAGCAAAGGCCTGAGGGGTGAAGTGGGAGTGAGTGGAGTAGAAGTCAGTCATGAAGTAGTTGTTGAGGTAGTCATTGCTTCCCATTCCAGAGTAGAAAATGCATTTGCTTAGATATGCATTTAGTGTGTTGTTATCTTCTCTGAAAAACCTCCTCAACTCCAACACCGTTCGTGCAAAGTTCTCTACTTGTTGGTTCATTGCCATATGGTCTCCCTAAACAACAAAAAGAAGAAAAGTTGAATTGTGATATTGATATTGAATATGTATGGATAATGAATGCGAGTAGATTTTGAAAACTTTTATGAGATGGTAGTATACAATTAATGAATGCGAGTAGATTTAAACTTAGGTAGAGTTGTGTGTTGTAGACTTGCAGTACCAAATTGTTGCCGGTTTCGTCTCGAATGCCCGCCGCGCCTGACGCGTAATTCACACCCCTAACCAAATCCCACCCTCGCACTCTCGCCAGTGGTGGAATGTAACTTTCAAACCCCAACAGTTGAGCTGTGTTACATACATGTATTTTTAATTAAATGAGAATATATATTAAAAAAAAAAAGAAATTATAATATAGGTAATAAAAATATAACAACCGACATGACTGGCTTCAGGGAGAATCTATCAAACCTAAATGGGTAGATATGATCTGGAACAAGGTTACCCCACCCAAGATTCAGCATATAGTGTGGTTGATGATGAAAGGGAGATTGCAGACTAAAGTAAGAGTCAGCAGATTCATTACTATTAGCACAAGCTGTACTTTATGTGATGTTGAGGAGGAAACAGACAAACACTTGTTTTGGGATTGTGTGGTTGCTAAGGAGATTTACAGGAGGAGTTTTTTCAGTTTTTAAGGTTAGCATCCAATTTTCTAATTTGGGGGAGCTGGAGTTGGCAGTACAGAGGGGAAAAGAAGGAGGCTGGTCCTTGCATTATGGGCTGCTGGTGTGTATGGCATTTGGAGAATGCGAAATAAGAAGAAAGATTAAACAAAGGGGAGTGTTCCATAGAGGAAACCGTCAACTTTATCAGTTCTTATATGCGATGTTATTTTTAGTTTTATGAGGGCATTGTAAGGCGTAGGGGAGGAGATCCATTGAATTTATGTTTATTTGTATGAACTTCTTGGTTTGGTTGATAAGAATATTGTGCTTTCTGTGAGAAAAAAAAAATATATACTCCCTCCGTCCCAAATTATAATGCTTGTTCACTATTCACAGGGTCAAATTTCATTCACTTTCTTTCTCTATTTTCATTAGCAATTTGATAAAATAAAAAATTGTTGTCACTACTATGTTTTGTAGATCTTTTGATGTAGTATTTTGATATGTAATTTTTATTTTTTAACTCTATACCATTTGTCATATAAAATAATTTAAAAATAACTTCAGTCAAATATCGTAAACCTAAACAGACGTTATAAAATGGGACGGAGGGAGTAACAACTGTGCACAACTAATACTCGCTCCATCCGGATTTAATTTCCAATTACTTTTAATGATATCAATGTAATACTCACTATTAATACCAATATTTATTGATAAAATGATTATAGGAGAAAATATACATAATATTCTATTTCTCTTATGAATACAAAAACTATTCTTATATAGATAACGAGAAATCAAATAAGTAAAATTTTACTCCTATATTTCTATTACTACCACAATTTGAGATGCTACGAAATAACCATATATATCTGTAAAGTAATAAATCATAATAATATTCATTACGGAGTATATTCTATTATTTCATAACATTTATACATTGATACATTTTATACCATTTTAATAATTTTAAACTATATTTTAAAAGAAAATTATTGGCAATACATTTATATAGAGATACAAAGTACAATGTACTTTTTCTACATATCGAAATCAAAATTTAAATGCTTTGACAAAAAAAATGAAATAGAAAGATTAAATTCGAACAGAGAGAATATTAAACACTCTTCGAGTATATACTCCATCCATTTGTTTTACCGAGTACATCTTTTTTTCTTGTTTTTCTTATTGGACTGTTCTATATCAGTAATCTTCTTTTCTAAATGTTCTTAAATGGAAAGACTACACCGTACCTTTTTAAAATCTAACCTATGCACTTTTTTTACATGCACCTTCAACTTATTATAAACGAAGAATGACAAAAGTGAATTTCAATTTTTTTTTAAATCGTATATCAAGGGTCGTGCCAAGTTAAAACGAGAAGAAAAGCATGAGATGAGAAGATAAGAATATTATACATAACGGATTTGATCGAATAAAAGTACTACCTAGAATATCGACGAAAGTACGGCCGTTGGTGAAGCGGCCCGTGGAACCGGAGGGGAAATCGATACCGTAGGGCAAGTAATTAGCCCTTGCAAGGGTGAGGATGCCATTGTTGTTGCCATTGTCAACCAAAGAGTCCCCAAATATGAAGAAGCATGGCACTTGTGGCTCTCCTCCTCCTCTTGCTTTAGGCGGTGATGACCAACCCCAGCTCCCCCTTGGAGTTGTTGTACAACACCACAATAATAACAAATAGTGTAATGACATTTTCGCCCTCAAAGCAAACCACTTATCCATATTATATTCTTACGTTGTTTTGCTTAAACGAAATGAATAATTATATTACATATAGAAATATGTTCTTGGACATTGTAGTTTGGCAAATATTCATCCGATTTATAGTACATGCATGGTGCAAATTTAAGGTAGCTAGTTTTTATGAAGTTCATGTGCCTTTT